GCCTGAGCCGCTTCCACACCTGCTGCAGCTAATGATTCCTTCAGAATTGGATGAGAAATGTGATCCCAGTCAACAAACAGTGTAGTGCCAAATCCCACTCCCTTCCCAGCCTGGACGTGGTTGCTGCGGAGGAATCGGCTTGCTCTGGGAGCTCTTGATACTAACTAGCTTTTCCCTTTCCCTCCTTCTGTTCTTGGAAAACCACTTGGAAGATGTTTCTTCTCCATCCAGAAGCTAATGGGAGGAATTTTGCTAAATGAAGACATCATCCCTAATTTATAACACTTGAAAGAACAACCTTGATTCCCAGTGTCACATCAAAATGCCGCAACTTTAAACCTCAATAGACCTTATCTTGGGTGAAATATTTTCTTTTTAATTTTATTGCTGCCTAGCACGTTAAGGCCAGCTCTGGGCTTCATGCTTTGGAATGATCCTGCCTTCATTGAACAAATTTTAAATGTGAGGTTACGATCTAAAACAGTGTCTAATAGAATGGCACCTTTCCCTCCCTTTTCTCACTCGTCTTCCCTTGTATTTGCTCCACTTAAAACCTAAACTAATTTCCCTTAACAGTTGTAAAGCACTCCCTGAGCCTCTTAGTCAAGTTCCCTTTTTTCCTGCCCCGCCCAATCGATGTGAAAATTAAGATCCTGAAATTGGATGTTGGCTGAACAATGTGGTTGCTGATGTAGGAAGCAGATGGTGCTGAGGGCAGGATAGGTTCCAACGTCGTCTCCCATTCCGGGGTAGGCTTGGAAGGGCTAGCCAGGGGAGGACCCACGTTTGACAGCTGATTGTCCGCTTGACTCAAGGAAGAAGCAGTAACTGAATCTAGACCAATCACTGCTTTCATTCCCTAACTGCCACTTTTTAAAATGTAGAGAAAGATTTCTGAGAGGATTCTTAAGATATGTTGCCAGTTTAAGCACACAAGAGTCAACAGAGTGTTTTGAGGATGTCCATTTGGGACATGGTCTTATTTTGTCTCTATAAATAACACTGGGAAGTCATAATGGAATTATTGGACGGATATCCACTTAATTGTGGCGAAGGAAAGCACATAAAAGCTTTCCTTCAAATTGTAAAACTGCTCGGACAGAGTTCTTTGAAGGGAGGGGAGAAGTCTGATTCTTGGCAGCTACATCACCTCTTTCAATAAATGTGGCACCAATCCAAGAACAAGAACCTTGTGACGTGGGCCAATGAGAAAACTGCCTCCCCAGACACTAATATTTCTACTTTCCCCGAGTCAAGTCGGCCTATGGGTACAATTAATTGAGCGTAAACTTCCAAGAACCCTAACATGGAATGAAAAGTAGTTACAGTAGTCACACCTGCCCAAGACACACTCTTGTCTGTTTCCTGTCTGAGGAAGCTGCAGCCTGGCTTTTGGAAGTGGTCTTGAAAAGCTCTGACCCTTACTTACAAAAGGCTTTAACGATTGCACAGTCATCTTCAAGGGCCTTTCACCTCTTCTTTCCCAGGTCCCCTAAATACTCACCATGGATCCTGAGAAGCAGCCACATTGGAAGGATTCTGTATGCATTTCAAGTCTTAAGAACACTTCATTGAGAGGAAAAAGCCTGCTAGTTCAGGGGGGTTGTTTGCTGCACTTCCACAGGAGTCCACTAGATGTCCTCATAGATCTACTGCCCATCACTTTTGTCGTCTTGAGGAAAACTTCCTCTTTTGACAGTTGAGACTCAGGAAGGGATGTTGATGACCACATGAAAAAGAAGAGAAAGCACAGAGGAGTGAGGGGTACTGTGTGTTGGGAAGGAGTACATAAAGACACTCTCCTCTGTTTTCAATGAGTACAGAACTTTTAAGAGAGTTATTCTTTGAAACCTAGCTTCAGGATATCTCAAATTAACCTATCTCAGCTCTAGAAAAGGAAATGATTACTGAGAAAAGGAAATAAAATATGAGTGGTTTAGAGCACCCATGAATCACTAAAACAAGGCAGAAGCATTAGGAAGCTACGAAGAGTGTTGATGGAAAAGAGGCAGGTGCTTTCAAGTTTTGGAGGTCCATGGTTTAATGTTAATTCAATTTTATTTTATAGTTCAGGAGTATGTTCTTCCACAGGGCATACCTCCATCTTCTGGAACATCTCCCACTAGGGAGGCACTTCCTTGTCAGATTTTAGTTAAAGTTTAAAGAGCTTGCCCAAGACTTGTGATAGTGTCCCAAAGAAAAGTTCTCTCAGAAGGGCGCACAAATCCTTCACATCAGACGGAGCCTCCAGAACTGAGCTCACAGAAGGCATTAACGTTTGAGAGAATGGACCCTGAACTTATATAGATCAAGATACCAGACAGGCAGCAAAAGAAAATGGACTAGTCCCAGGAGTTGAGCAAGGAAGCCCTCTCCCAGTCGATAACGCACTGGTCTATCCATTGTGAATCCGAAAGTTTGTTTGATGTGTGGGGGTGTGTGGGGCTTGGTCTTTTCTACCTGTTTCTGTCTTGTCTTTGGGCCTCTCATTGATCATTCTTGCTGTTTTTTTGTGGTGGTGCTTGCTCGTCTTTTGAGCTTTCTCTATCATATTTTGTATGAGTGTAAAACTGGGGAGGAATCATGGGCCACAGCATGTTTTCCTTTTTATACATATCCTGCTTTGGAATGCGATTGCTTATAATTAACAGTTAATCTTCTTATACCAAATGGTTTTTGCTGCTTCGATGACCAGTTTTGGCCTGCTCCTGCATGCTAACAATGCAGCATTCTTAAACAGTGCATGGGCTCCAGAACAGCCAACAATAACAGTTGCAAACAGTCCCTGAGAGGCCCTGGTTTAAAGTTGTGCTCCCTCCTGACAGTTTACAAAGTAGGAGGTTTCAATTACTCATTAAGATAGGTTTGCCTCTGTCAAAACAACCTCAAAATTATTCTGCCTCCATTTTTCTCGCTATGTTCTTAAAAAGATGGTATGTGTGTATGTTTGTGTGCATACAACCCTTTCATTTCTCCCATAAATGTGTCAGATGCTATTATTGCTTATAAACCAAAAATGGTGGGATGGAAGTGAATGCCTGGGACTGTTGCTAATAAGAAGCAAAGCATCTCAATGTTTGACCGGCTTCTCTTCTGCTACAGCATTTGATTAATTTTTTTTCCTCAAAACTGTTTGTCTGCAGGGAGGTAAAAAAAAATCTCCTTTATTTCTCTCTGTTGTGTGCACATACCAAATCACTCAGCATTCCTACTAAAAAACCAAGGAAGAGAGAATGAGAGAGTGGCCTCCACATTGGGTAACACAGGTGGATATATTCAAAGAAATATTTCCATATCTTCAGCTGAAGACTCGTCCTTACTGCTATGTGCCTGGCCTCTCTGGCCATTTGCACCATTGCATCAGACCCTCCAAATTTCTCTGACTCAAATGCTATAGCGGAACCTTTCATGGGTGGAATGAAAAGCTTAGCTTATGAGAATGAGTGTCACGCAATCAGCAGGGTCGGGCATGCATGATGATCCAAATGACCAACTCACCGGGATGTGGAAAGAACGCATCTTGAGAAATGCAAGCCAAGTTTACGGGAGTGGAGGTGCTGCTGAAGAGATCTCTCATTCGTCTCCTGAGTAATTGTTTCTCATAGTCCTAATGTTACCTGTTACCCTTGCTTGACAAACACGGTGTATGACAACTCACAAAGGTCTTAGAACAGGACTTGACCCGTGGGAGAGATTTAAAGCTCTTCTTCCTGTTGACTGTCACCTTCAAAGAGGGCAAAACCACAAGTCATATTTTAAAACAACAGTGCAACCACTCTTCAAAGAAAAAGGGGGAAAGGCTTTCCAAATGGAAGGTGTGGGTACAGGGAAAGCCATCTCTCTGTTCAGCCTTTCTGGATGGCCATAGTAGTTGAAGAAAGGTGAATTCTTCTCCCTCCTTGTGCAGGAAAATAAAGAGCTGTTCGGTTCATGCCAAGTGATAAACATGTTTGTCTGTTGTAACATCAAAATAGGTACAAAAGCTTTGCTTGTACAGAAATATAAATTGACTTCAAGGGTGAAAGTCAAGGTAAAAACTATGTGATTATGTCCATACAATTTTTTCCTCTTTTACTTCCAATCATTTCTAATATATTCTGGTTAAGGTTTTCATTTTGAGAAGAAAGTGTGATTAGCCAGGAGCCCGACAGCTTTCTGAATTTGTGGTGGGTGAGGCGGGAAAGGAAGATGTGATTCTCAGATTGTCTCAACTTTAAGCGGAACATACGCCAATGAGCAGCTGACTGCCTTCCAGTAGACCAACATGGCATATGCTCCTGGTGATTCCTTATTGGTGAACTGCTTTTAATGTCAAATACGCAGCATTAGCCTTGAGTAGCTGCACTTCTTATATGGACAGATTTGGATATTTGTTCTGTCAAGAGTAAATTTAAATTCCTGTAGGCATCATGTAAGCTCCATCTCTGGGAAGTTCAGCGGAGGCATCCTCCAATTCTGTATTAACACGTAATTGTTTCACATCTAATTTGATGAAAGCTTGTCCCAGGCACTGCCTAATGCCTGAATGGATGGAAATTGGAAAGCCTACATATGAAATATTTTTGCATCATGCAAAAAGATTTACTGCATCAAATAAGCAATTAATTGTGTCTATTTGTCCTCCTGTATTAATTGTGCTAGGGGAAAAGCTGTTGGTTACCTTTTTGCTGTCTAGAATCTGTTCCTCCTTCCCCTTCAAGAGCCTGATTGTAATCAATTATGTTCTTTTCCCGTGGTCACTCACTTTACAAAAGGGAGAAAAATAATATTCCACAGCCTTGGGGAACTACAAAGGCAATTTATATTTTCATTGCTTTTTTGATGTACAACCAAACTGTTATCAACAATCACTCTGCATTTTTTTTTTCTGGGTCAAGACTGTTAACATGAACTAAGACCTGTGTTAAATCCTGTCAGCTCCCTTCCAGCAGCCTTGTTGTGTGTAACCTTGCCATTAACAACCGCTCTTCCTCTCCTTCCATCCACCCCAATGGTTCTAGCCAAGATGTCCATCTACAGGAGAATGAGACGAGCATGTTGTTTTGATTGCGGACGTTCTGAGCGTGACTGCTCATGCATGTCAGGCCGTGTGCGTGGTAACATGGACACCCTGGGGAGAGCCTTCCCACTTTCTTCTGTCTCTGTTAATGATTGCTCCACCAGTTTCTGTGCCTGTAAGTTTAATCTGACACACACTGTTCCACGTCTGTGGCGTCTGTGGCACCATCTCTGTCTTGTGTCGTGCCTGTGATTGTGTAAGTCTGTCACGCTGAAGTGGTTTTGTTTTTGTCCAGTGTGGCCTCGTGTGTGGTGGTTTGTTGCCTGTTGGCCCGTATGTTTGTGTCTGAGCTGAGGAAGATCTCCCTTCAGATTTTGTTAACTTGCCTTGCTTCTTGTCATTGTGTGCAGAACTGGGATGTCACAATCAGAAGAAAGCCTCTTTAAAATAAATGGACATGGAAATTAAAGTCATGGCATATCCAATGTTAGATCAACACAGAGCTATGTGAAAGTATATAACCTAATATTTGGGGAAAGGCTATGAATTAGATTGGATTGAAAGGAGGAAAGAGAAGGATGTAGAGAGAATAAGCCAACTCTATACTAAAATGTGTATAGTCAGTTTAGATAGTTTCTAAATAGTGTTTAGATACAGATAGGTATATATATATTGTTGTTGTTGTTGATGTGTGCCTGTAACCCGTATCTCTTTCCTCCAATGCTAGATTCTGTCCTATAGAGTGTGTGTGTGTGTGTGTGTGTGTGTATTCTAAGTTTACCAATATAAATAGGCTGAAAGAGTATTTCAATCAACATATTTTCTTTTTGCAAAAAATATAGCCTTTTCTTTAAAGTATCTTTTAGCATCGTGATTCTAACTAAAAGTGAAAAAAAAATTGAAACAGGAATTTCCATGGTTTCCTGGAACCCATAGCACAGGCCTGTGAGGTCAGTTGTCTTTGGTTCATAAAAGCTCAGGGATATTAAAGGATCTACAAAGGTCATGCCTACAGATAGTTAGCAAAAGTGAGATTTGCAGCAAATTCCTAAGAAATCCTTAACCCTTGAACATCACTGTGGTCTTTGCTGCTATCACACCACATGTAGTTCATAGCTGACCCCATTGAAAACTCTAGCTTACAATCAATGCATTGGAGCATATCCTTTCCCAAGGGCAGAAGACATTGTGCATCTCTGTGAGTATTTGCAGGTCTTGAAGTATGGCTGTAATCTTACTTTCACATATTTAGATGGTTAGGGGATGGAAGATAGATCCTTTTGTGCTTTATACTTTCCTTTTTAAGTACCAAAACCATTTATTGGTAACTATATCTCCATCTGTCAGCTCTTCTTATAAATACTAGTTGAAATAAAATTTCCTCAACAAAAGTTAATGCACAAGATAATAGGTAGAAAAGAAGCTTTTCATTCTTAAACATTTTTTTAATTTTTTTTATTCTTAAACATTTGATCACATGAAAAATGAATGTGTTTGACTCACTTGAACCTATGCTGAAAGTGGTTCCAATACAGTGTCCTTGTCAATGAAGGTTTCTAGGGCCAGGAGACTTACGCTAATGTGTATAGTGGAGTGGTATGCCATGCTGGACCCTGCTATTTGGACCTGCGGTTCTGGTCCATAGACCATAGGCCTGATCTATGCAGTAAACCATAGCAGAGACATTTAGAAAAGTTAAATTCAGGATGTGATTATCTGATTCATGAGTCACGATTATTCATGATTCCTCTAGAACAGTGCCAAGGGATAAATTTCACGTTTTCTTTTTAAGATTCATTTTTAAAAGTGATATCTAATGGAGTTTGAATTTAGAAGGATTTTGGATTATCTCAACCACATTGTTCTAAAGTCTTAGGAAAGAACTAACTTTAAAAGTCTTTGTTATAGAGTTCTCAGTATAAATCCTTACCTCCTTATTCTTATTTGTAACAGTGTTCTCTCTACCTCATTTAGCACTCCCAAGGTGACCTAGGTCACAACTACACAAAGAAAATGCCATTTTACAGTGGATGACCAGAGACCGAGTGCAAAGACAGGGCAGAAGAGGTAGGGAAGGCCATTGTAGCCATCAGCCACTTGGCTCTGCCTCTGCCAGCAGTATGCTTTCTTGACCAAGATGAACACTTCTGTTCTCCAATAACCACTGGGATTTCAACCTTGGCTAGAGGGTGAGGGGAGAAAACAAAGGAGCTACTCTGGCTCTGAGTTGAGGCCCATGGCCTCGTCTTGGCACTAGTCAGCCATACCAATCACAGTAAAATTTCTCTTCCCATCTTGGGGGCCATTATACCCACTGTGTGTGATTTCAGTTGTTATCTAAGAGAAGCCATAATTTTAGGGATTTTTTAGGTCTGCAGTTTCAGCAAAGCATTGATGGGGGCCAGAGGAGAAAACCCTTGGGATGCAATTGTTCTATCCTGTCAGGTGTGCCCCATGTGCGATACCTTTGCCATTTGACAGTCAGCACCACATGGAAAGCATGGAGCTTTGGGCTTTGCATTGAAGCCTTAACAGATATTGACAGCTCAGAAGGATTTAGTCTCCCCTGTTCTGTCAATCGTCTCCCTACTGTCATCACTCTATCAAACAAAAGCAGATTTCATCCATCTCTATGTGAGACCACTCACCTTTGATTGTCAATAATAAGTTCGAAAAATCCACTGCCACATGAACCCCTCTGTGAACCCATGTAAGTCCTTCTTCTCCAGTTAAAACACGTCTATGTCAATGCAGAATTCTGCTTGCAGAGCTTCAATAGCGTTCAGGGCTTTCCTCACTGATGGTGGGGTTGGGTGGTGCCTATTTGACAGAGCCAGTTGACTCAAAGAGCAGTGGTGAGAGTGGGCTTTTCATTAAATATGAGCAGATGTGAAATGTAGAGGGTCTGACAATTAGAAATGGCAGGAGAAGGGCCCTTGAATCAAAGCGAGGTCAGATGGGTGGATCAGATTACTTCTCTTACATTCTTTAGTTGTTCTGAAAATCATTTTGCATTAGTGTCAGTGGAGCCCTGATGGGTTTTGCCCTTTGTCTTTTATGCACGGGTTGTATTGTTTCCCAAGACACTCATTAAAGGTCATTATACTATTAAGGAGCTCTTTGGTCACAGATTCCCAGTTGGGTCTGTGTGCTTGGGAGAGTGCTTCATTCGCTTCTCCCTTTCCTTTCCTCTCTCTCCTTACCATGCTCTTTTTCTTTTTCTTCTAAGGAGAAAGATTTCCGTTTTCAAGGGACTTTAAATGAAAACACCAAGTCCCATTATGTGTTTTCTGAAGTGAGAGGAGAAGTAGCCTATTCCCAAAGGAGTCGTAATGTATTAAAAGTGTTCACACAGTTTTAAAATCCTGCCTTCTCACAGCAGGACATGCCAGCCCATTACACCTCTTTGGTGGGGTGACCTGCTAGCTTGTTTTGGCTGTTGTGAAATCGCGTACCATTATAGCACTTTTCTCCCTCCTTCTGTTGAACTTTCAAGGAGACATAAGGGCAGACTGTGTTGACAGAAAGATGAGAGGAAGGACTAGTTTACAGAAGGTTGCAAATCAAAACAAAACAGTGCCCTGCAAAGAAGGCAAATAGCAACCAACGTGGGTTCATTGCAAGACTATCTTCTCAGTGGCTGTATTGAATCATTCAGTATGGGAGGCTGGAGTTCGTGCATCATTTTCTGATTTTCTTGCGACTTCTTATGTTCCGAAGTGGGAGGGGCAACTTTATGAAAAGGCCTGGGACAGTACTGTGTTCTAATACCATCAGATATTGAAAACACATCTAACAGTATAAGCGTGCATACAAATACAGATGGAGGTGTGCCTGGGTGGTATCAGCAGTTAAGTTCTTGGCTATGAACTGAAACATTGGCAGCTCGAGCCCACCCACAGGAACCTCAGCAGAAAGGCCAGGAAAGGTGCTGCATAAAGGTCACAGCCACGGAAACCCCGTGGGTCGTAGATCCACTCTGCACACAGAGGTCGCCACGAGCTGGCATCAGTTCAGTGACAACTGTGGGCTGGTAAGGCACCAAGCAGTTCCATTTTCCTCAGAGAGTTGGACAGTGACCAAGGAGGATAGAAGGAGAACTGATGCCTTTGAGCTGTGGTGCTGGAGAAGAGTATTGAGAATACCATGGACTGCTAGGAAAACAAACAGATTTGTCCAGGAGAGGGTTAAACCGGGTGGCTCCTTGGAGGCAAGGATTCTGAGGCTCCATCTAACATACTTTGGACATGTAGTGAGAAGAGACCGGTCCTTAGAGAGGGACATCATGCTTGGGAGGGTGGAGGGACAGCGCAGGAGAGGAAGGCCCTCTATGAGGTGGATTGATTCAGTGACTGGGATAATTGGAATGGGAGTGTCAGAGACAGTGCGATTGGCACAGGACAGAGCGGAGTTTAGGGCTTTTGTACATAGGGTCGCTATGAGTCGCAGGCGACTTGCCGGCACATAACAACAACAACAACATAACTGTATGAAGTGGTCTTTTCTCTCAGTTTAGGAGTTTATTCTTGTTATTTCAGTCTTGCCCAATATCTGATTGTTAAGTCTAATGGAAGGGGACAATTAAAATGATGATGCCGTGACAACATAGGCCCATATTGATTGAAACCTGCTGAGCGCCTGCATGACATGATGCCGACCATGAACAGATTAATCATGTAGTAGAAGAGAAGCAGGTCTTCAGCGTTGCACTTGGAAATGGTTTTAGCTGAAGTACATGTGTGATTACTCACACCAACCATTCAATTTACTAATAGTTTAAACTTGCACAATTCCATATACCCTCTTGCCAACGACTGTAGCTAATTTTAAATTGTGCATGACTTTTATTTTGGGTATAAATATAATACAAGGAGGCATTTGACTCCAGTGGTTAAGTTAAGAGGGGAAGTCCAATACGATTAGGTTGAAGGGAGACATAAGGAAATCAGTTTAGTGTAATCTTAAGTCTTGTCAGATAATAAACAAAACCCAGCTTATCACAAGTAGCCTCTGGTTTGTACAGGCAGAGAATTAACATTGTCAATAGAAGGAAAGTCGCTTGACTGAACTAATGGCATTTTGAAGTATATAAAATCAGATAGTAAGGCAGAGGGTGAAAATAGCACAAGGAAAATGTCTATATTAGGACACTCCCTATGCTGACTGTCTCCAATG